GATGATAGGATAAGAGTGAAGTATTATTTATTTAATGCTTACTGCATGAGATGCTGTGTTACTCATTATACCAAGAGCTTTGGAAATTTATTCTCTAGGAGTTGTAATAACAGGCTATTAATATGGGGACTGTGGAATAATATGCTAATAAAGAGCAGAGTATGCAAACAAAAGACCATTGTAGATATTCATATTGCCAGTGACTCATCTCATCCCCCCTGCAGGAATGGAAAATATTGACATTTATAGGAGTGGGAGTAGAAGCTAGGCACTGTTAGCTATAGCAGCACTGACTGTACAATAATTCTAAATTAGATTTTAATAATATTTTCTCACTAAAGATCTATTGTCTAGCTTTTAAAAATTGAATCATGATGATGGTGATAGTGACGGTGGTTATGATAATATTTGAAATTTTTTGGCCTTTGATATGTGTCAAGCATTGTACTAATCATTGTGATTATCTTACTTAGTATTCATAAAATATTCCTCAGAGGTGGTGGCATCATCTGTGTTTTTTAGATGAGGAAATCCGTGTTTTCTGGAGTAAGTAGCACAGTCAGGATTTAAACTCAGGTCCATTGGCATACAGAGCTGTGTTGTTAATCACTACTACACTATACTGTCTAGTAATGTAATAGCTACTGTATATAGTGGGAGCTCATGGCTAGTAGTCCAATTTTTATAATTGTGTTTCAGTAACTGAGTTGTGTACTTATTAGAGTTAATTGTATTTTTTTCTCAACCTGTTTTATCAGTTATGTTTGTTACTGTATTTGTATGTTGATTAAGTAAATAATGAAATGAGACAAATTTAAAAAAAAATCATCAGCTTTTACTTGTAAAACATTACCCTTAATTATTATCAATTTTTCTAAAATGAAATTGAAATGCCAAAATTTGAGTAGCCTTTCTAAGAATGAATTATGAAACGAAACTAGTTTTTGAAGGTAAGTGGAATGAGTTGGAAAGACAAAATGTATCGTTAAAAATAAATTTCCTTTAGAATTTGTTGTGAGACAGTTCATAGAAATGGGGGTATATAAGGTAACTCAGTGTGATTTGGCATTTGGATTTCTTTATATTTGTCTTCAAGTTCCTGCTTCATCTATGAGAAAATGAAACTTAAAATTGAAGACAATTTATTTTTGATTTGGCACATACGAGACTAAGAGACTAAGAAGTTAAAACTCCGGTCAAATGAAAAGGCTCTAAGTCAAAAGATGTGTGAATGACATACATTTATACAATTTTAGTTAAAATCTTCAATACGGATATAAACATATGCATGTGTGTGTGTGTAAATTTTCCTTTTTGACTAACTAAAAAGTCTTTTAGCACAGGCTTGGCAAACTTTGTCTTTCAAGGGCCAGATAATAAATATTTTAGACTTTGCAGGCCATTAGGTCTCTGATGCAACTATTCACTTCTGCTCTTATAATCCAAAAATAGTAATAGATGATATGTAAAGAAATGGTTGTAGCTATGTTCCAATAAAACTTAATTTAGAAACATAGGCTACTGGCTGGATTTGGCCTGTGGTCTCTGATCTCTGTTCTAGAATTATAGTTCATATAGTTTGGAGATGTTTTTAGTATTTAGTATTCTTAGTAATGGACTCTGAACTTTGTGGTGAATGATTGTGTTCTAGGTTAGGTCAGGGATTTCTGAACAGAGTGAAGATGGAGATCTAGCTAGATCCAAAGTGATCCCAGGAGTTTTATTATAGTCTGGTCATACCTGGTTTGAAGGATCATGTGGATACTTCATGGTACTTCAGAGTTGTTGGTTTAGCTTCACAGTGTTTGAAAATCAGGTTTTCTTTGAGATCTGTTGATACATTCTCTGGTTCCTGTGAGTATATTGAAACCACTGGAGTAGGCTCTGATCTAAACAGACTGGAATGTCCTGGGGACATGGACATACAGTATAAACCTGGAAATCCATCTACTTAAGTCCATTCTAAAAGTTTTAGAACTTTACTGAACCATGTACAAAGGTGTGGGAATTGGGAAAGTGGTGTTCAATGTATAGTAGAATCATGAAACAGCTAGAAGTACTCCTTTTGATCTTGCCTGCCTTAATAAAGGAATCTGATGCCCAGAGATATTAAGGGATTTATATTAAATCATATAGCTTGTTAATAACAAAGCAAGGAAAGGTCATTTAGATGCTAATTATCTCTATACCATCTTATTAGTATATTTTTGTATAGTCAGATTTGTTCAAATTCTTGATTTGTATGTAATCTTTCTAGGACTCATTCTTGTTTAGTGTGTTTGTGTCCTATATCAGCTATTTAAAAGAATACTATTAGTTTTTTATGGGTATGTTATCTTTAATATTTTCTGTAATGATGGTAAAAATGCTCTGCAGAATTGCTTGATTCATCCCATTCAGGTTGCAGATAGCTTTTAAGAGCTTTTAGCCTTCCATCTTAGAACTAGTAATTTTTTGACCATTATGTAGCTTTTATTTATCAAAATGTTTATGAATAGATCCTTTTAACATGCTTTGATTAATTGAAATGGCTTGAATTCACATTTCTAAATGATGGCTAAAGGCTTTTTTAAAAGCTGTACAGTTAATGCCCACTCTTTAAGCACATACTTATATATATATATTTTAAATTAGTAAATTGTTGTCAAATTGTAGTTGTAGATTTTGAAATAATATAAATGAAATAATTTTTAATATAACAAAAATATTTGATTATAGATTTTGCATTTATAATCTTCTGCATGCTATTTACATTACTATGTTTGTATTAACACAATGCATATTTTATAGGTTATTTAACTGTAAATAATAGCAGCAATAAAAATATCTAGATTTATGATAATTTCATACATAAACACTAAAGCTCAATTTTTTTTTTTTTTGGTAGGGAAGCTGAATAAATCATTACTCTCCCCTGTGAATGAATTTAGATATATTTGTTTTTTCTCCAAACTCAAAATATTCCCTAAAAGAATATATTTACCAGTTCTGAATTACTCTTTATTCCAGGTTTCCTTGCCATCTTGCCATTCTAGCTTCAGCCTTGGGTGAACTTTTTTTTTTTTTTTTCAAATTACATTCACAGTTTTATTTAGGATCTTATCTATCCTGTATTATTTTTTTAAAATTTTATTTCAGGGTATTATGAGGGTACAAACATTTTAACTCCATGTAATAGAAGAGTAGAATCACCTTTGTCTCTGCTTGTCTCTTTTTCTATTGCAAAGGCACCTATAGACCCAGGATCTAATGTGGTTCTTTTTCTTTTAAAACATCCTCCTCCCTTTTCTTCTAATGCTTTAGTTTTATTTATTGAGGTAGAAAACAGGGGCTAATATAATGATGGCACAATTTTGCCATTTTTCTTTGGATTGAAAATTTGATTCAGGAAATATTTATTACCTTCTCTGAGTCAGATAGTGAGTTTAGTTCTGGGGAGTCACTGGGGAATAAGCCACAGTGTTTTGTAGGCTTGTGCCTTGGAGACACAGTCACAGTATTTCTTACTATAGTACAGGGTGCTGTATACAGAGTATTATGAAACTTACGGGAGCAGTTAGTTAGCAGGAAAGGACTTGCCAGAGAAAATGGCATTGAATTGGGCAGGGAAAGATGGTTGGACATTTGTGAATGAGGAAAGAAGAAGGGATATTCTAGTTATTGTGAACACTATATGCAAGAACCTAGGGTGTGAAAGTCTGGGGTTTATTTAGGGAGTTGCGCACAGTCCGTACCGCTAAAATACAGGAATTGAAAACTGAATAAGAAGTTAATTTTTTATGTCAGATTGTTAAAGGTTTTACATGCCATACTAATTTGGGGCTTTATCTTTAGTTTAATGGGGAGCCACTATATGTTTTAAAGCAGGAGATTAAGGTGATTTTATTTCTGCATTAAGAGCTACATTCAGAGGTCTATAGGACCAGGTGGGTAACAAATGTGAAGCTGCCAGGTTTAAGACAGCAGGGAATGGTAGGGCCCACAGGACTGGAGAGTGTTTGCCTTGCCTAAAGCCTTTTACATATAAGCCATTTGAAAACACTGTGTTATATGAAGTTAGACCCCTGCTCACAGCTATCCCTGACAGCTTTTTGGAGGATGTTGTACAATGTTTGGTTGATGGTATTTGTCAAATAAATGAACAGAGGGATTAGGGGGTAGAATGTGTGTGCTGCATGTGGTTTCAGCAGATACCAGTAAAAACCCTTGTATGGTTTTGTGAAAAAAACCTTGTATTATTTTCATGTGTTTATGTGTATCTGCCACTTTTTGTACCCGCATAAAATGCTGAAATAAAAAACAAAAAAAAGAATAATTAAGTTTTAATCTTTTTTGTTTAAATATTTTCTCTATGATTGTATTTGTTTTATTAGACATCGTAAATCTTTTTTAGTAATCAGATATAATAATTCAAATAATGTTCTGTCTTTTTTTTACTAACCTAGTAAGAATTAAAGGGAAAAAAATCTAGTTAAAAAATTAGCTGCATAATTTAATAAATGTTTACCAAGTAAACATAACTGTGTAACTACCACCTAAAAATAGAACATTTCTAATACCACAGGAACTTCCTTCATGTACCATCCCAGTTATTCTTCCAAGGTAATCCAAGGCAATCACTATTCTGACTTCTGTCACCAAAGTTAGTTTTGCTTGTTTAGAAACTTTAAATGAATGGAATCGTACAGTATATGTACTGACCTCTTTTGCCCAACATTATGATTTTGAGACTCAGGTGATACATTTTCATTGCTGTAGTCATTATGGACTATATCACACTTTACTTATCATTTAATTATTCATATACAATTATATTGTTTCAAGTTTTTGTCTGTTAGAAATAATGCTGCAAGGCTTATGTGTACATTTCACCAGCACATCTTACTGCTCATACTGTGGATCTTTGAATTTGTTGATGTTTTATTCAGCTTGTATGTCTTGTATATTAGCACTGTCTCTTTGAAAGGTAGACTCATTTCACTCTGTGTTTTATTTAATAGTGAACTGAATTCAAAGCTGCAAGATACTTTAGAACAAATTGAGGTAAGAAGGGTTATACCATAAATTATATGACTTTTTCTTTTTAGATGTTTTTGAATAGCATAGGTGCAACATTATGTTTTGGCTTTTGTGTTACTGTGTTATAACCAGTGTTTCTAGATTGCTACCCTTTATTTATTTATTTTTTATAATAAGGTGTTGAATACCTCATATAATTTGTTGAATACGGTACTGAAAGTGAAAACCAAAATGATTGCATGGGTACTCAGAATACAGTTTCTGCTGCATGTGCATCACTTTCACACCACATTAAGTTGGAAAAATCCTAAGGTGAACCATCACAAGTTGAGGACCATCTGTATTTCATTTGGAATGTATATGTGTGATCAAGTTAGTGTTAATATACTTGTAAACTCATTAATACTTTTGGAATTATGGGATCTCAAAACATTGTTTGATAATATCACCATTTCCAGAAAAATCTCCAGACTTTTAGTCATAGATGGTTCTCATGTAAATTGTAGCAGCCAAAATACTTTTCCATGTATTAATTATATTTTGATTATCAATTATTTTTTATTCTAATGAGTTAAATTACTTATGAGTGATTATTGGCTGATGAAAACTCTTCTGAATTCCTAAACCTTATAATGATATCTCATACAGTTCATCAAAAATGTAGAAACTGGAAAGGAAAAGATGTTATTGTGAGCATGAAGCTTTGTTTTTCTTCCTATATATATTTAGATTTACTTGGCAATCTTTGCAAAGTAGGGTATAAATTTTAATAAATTTAATAAGAATTATTTGATTTCTTCTACTATTTTATTTTGTTGTTTTCCTGATAAGAGTATTTATAAAAATTGAAGTTGGAATTTCAAATGACCTTTTATGAAAGTAGTGTTTGATCATAGATGCATTTATTTGTTAATTGTAAGAATGCCAATTTATTTGATAATCAAAAAACAACTACTTTAAGTCCCTTAAGTAAACAATTCCCTGAATATTTTTAATGAGGGGTTTCTATTGAGAGCTCAGTATTTCTTTACTCTTAATATATAGTATTATTCTATACTTATATAGAAAATTATTATTTAAAAATGAAGTCACTGAAAGAGAAACCCATAAACAAAGTAGTGTATTTAGATATATAAGCTTAAACTTTGAGTTTTATACTTTTAAGGTCTATCTATTTTTTGGTGAGAATTACTTTTCAATGATAATAGAAAGATTGTTTTGTTATTTTTCAGTAGTCCCACAAATTTTGTTCATTATATTATATTCTTTATAATTAAAAATTATATTTTAGCAGATATCTGAGAAAACATAAAATTAAGTAAAAATAAAAAATAAAATTCCTTAAACGATTGCATTTATTTTGTTTCCTTTGAAACACTAGGCATGGGTTTCATAGTAGAAACTTCTATGTTGATAATATCTCAGTAAACTTCATAACTTGATTATAGTAGCTAATAAATTACAATTACAACTTACTGTAATTTTATTTAAGCCTTTTTTTACTATTAAATCCAGTGTGATAGCAAATATATTTAGGTATTAATTAAAGGTGAGAGATTAGTCTTAGTATTTTCTTCTCATTACCTTAAAAACATAATTTCTTAACTACCTCTACCTTCCTCTTTTAATTACATAGGAACAGCTGGATGTAGCTCTTTCCAAAATCTGCAAGAATTTTGATATTAACCATTATACAAAAGTTCAACAAGCTTATCGACTTCTTGGAAAAACACAGGTTTGTTTCAAAAGGATATTTTCTTTTTCCCTAATAACTAATCTCTTGACTTTTATGATTAAGTTTGAATATTATTCATGTAGTGCCCTTAAGTTTCATTTAACAGTGTACATTTTTCTGCTGAATTTAACAGTGGTAGCATGGTTGTTCACATAGACTCAGAATATATGTAGTGTGATGAAAACATTACAGAACTATATTTTGAACTATTAAGTATTTGTCAGGTTTAATATTTTCTCAATTTTATGTAGTTTTTAAAAAAGTATTAATATATAAAATAATTCAATGGGAGATGATGTGTAGTCCCTTTTATCTCAGGTCTTAGTCCTGAAACAGGACTTTTTAATTTGGGACTTCATAGATTCCTAGATTGGTTAGAATGACTGCCTCAAAATGTTATGTAAACTTTGTGCATTGTGTACATTTCTCTGTAAAACAGGTCCATTGCATTTATCACATTTTTAAAGGGTACTGTTACCCCCAAAATGCCATAACTTTTTTGAAAATGCATGTCTTTGTATACTCCTATTGTTCCAGGGCTACCTTGAAAAACTTGAAACAAGGGCCATTGTTTCAAAGTTAATTGTATCTTTCGTGTATACAGGATGATACATTTATCTATACAACATTTAACTGATAGACATAAATGTTTTCTACCCTTAAATGGTATTCTCTTTTAGAAGGAAATTTAAGACTTTATGCAACCATTTAAACTCCATTTACGTTTTAAATTCTGAATAAAGAAATTTGGCTGGTTATTGTTTTCACGTCTTAAGCCATACCTAAGAAAAAATCCAAGAAGAAAGACGTGGCAATTTTGAGGAACATGTTTAAAGGCTTCTGAAAATGGGATTATAACTTCTCATTTCCCACATAAGGTTAAGTCTTACATTCCTTAAATACTTCTTGTTACCTACTATGTACGTTACCCTAGGCCCCTGGATTTAGGTCTTCATGTATCTTACCTTCTATTGAGGAATACAAGCATTAAAGAAAGACAGGCATACTTTGTTTTATTCTACCAACCAGCCATTTCTCCATCTCTCTCCCTCTCCTTGGGCCATCCTATTCCTTGAGACACAACAATATTGAATTTAGGCCAGTGAATAACCGCTACCGTGGCCTCGGAGTGTTCAAGTGAAAGGAAGAGTGACTTTAAATCAAAAGCTAGAAACAATTAAGCTTAGTGAGGAGGACATGTTGAAAGTCGAGGTAGGTTGAAAGCTAGGCCTCTTGTTTCAGTTAGCCAAGTTGTGAATGCAAAGGAAAAGTTCTTTTAAAAATTTTTAAAAAATTATTATAGGTACATATAGTTGTATATCTTTACAGGGTACATGCACTATTTTGATACATGTGTACAATGTGAATTAAAGTAAGGAGGAAAAGTTCTTAAGGAAATTAAAAGTGCTGCTCCAGTGAACACACAAATAAAGCGAAACAGCCTTATTGTTGATGTGGAGAAAGTGTGAGGGGTTTGGGTAGACGATCAAACCAGCCACAGCATTCCCTTAAGCCAAAGTCTAATTAAAATTAAGCCAAAGTGCAAGGTCCTAACTCTTTTCAATTTTATGAAGGCTAAGAGAGGTGAAGAAGCTACAGAAGAAAAGTTTGAAGCTAGCAGTTTGGTTCATGAGGTTCAAGGACAGAAGTCTTCTCTATAACATAAAAGTAGAAGGTGAAACAGCAAGTGCTGATATAGAAGCTGCAGCAAGTTATCCAGAAGATCTGGTTAAGATCATTGATGAAGGTGGCTACACTAAACAACAACATCTACATTAGAAACTAATGTAGATGACCAGCCTTCTATTGGAAGAAGATGCCATCTAGGCCTTTCATAGCCAGAGAGAAGTCAATGTCTGGCTCTGAAGTTTCAGAGGACAGACTAACTCTCTTGTTAGGGGCTAGTGCAGCTTGTGACTTGAAGTTGAAGCCAATGCTCATTTACCCTTCTGAAAATCCTAGGGCTCCTAAGAGTTATGCTAAATCTACTCTGCCTATGCTCTATAAATGGAACAACAAAGCCTGGATGACAGCATATCTGTTATAGCATGGTTTACTGAATATTTTAGCCCCTTGTTGAGACCTATTGCTCATACAAAAGGATTCCTTTCAAAATATTACTGCCCATTGACACTGCACCTGGGTACCCAAGAGTTCTGGTGGAGATGTACAAGGAGATCAATGTTGTTTTTATGTTTGCTATCACAACAGTCATTTTTCAGCCCATGGATCAAGGAGTCATTTTGACTTTGAAGTCTTATTATTTAAGAAATACATTTCATAAGGCTATAGCTGCCATAGATGGTGATTTCTGTGATGGATATACACAAAGTTAATTGAAAACCTTCTGGAAAGCATTTACCATTCTAGATATCATTAAGAACATTTGTGATTCATGGGAGGATTTCAGAATATCAACATTAACAGGAATTTGGAAGAAGTTGATTCCAGCCTTCCTGAATAATTTGGAGGGGTTTAAGATTTCAGTGGAGGAAGTCACTGTAGATGTGGTGGAAGCAAAAGAACTAGAATTAGAAGCAGATCCTGAAGATATGACTGAACTCCTGAAATCTCATGATAAAACTTGCATGAATGAAGAGTTAATTCTTACAGATGAGCAAAGAAAGTGGTTTCTTGAGATGGAATCTACTGCTGGTAAAGATGTTATAGACATTGTTGAAATGACAACCAAAGATTTAGAATATAACATAAACTTGGCTGATAAAGCAGTGGCAGAGTTTGAGAGGATTCATTCCAGTTTTGAACGAAGTTCTGTGGGTGCAATGCTAATCAGACAGCATTGTAATGTATAGAGAAATCTTTCATGAAAGAAAGAGTCAGTCAAATGTGATGTACTGTATTATTGTCTTATTTTAAGAAATTGCCACAGCTACCCAGCCTTCAGCATCCACCACCCTGATAAGTCAGCAGCCATCAACATTGAGGCAAGACCTTCTACCAGCAAAAAGATTATGACCCACTGAAGGCAGAGATGATCGTTAGTATTTTTTAGCAATAAAATATTTTTTAGTCAAGCTGGGTGCAGTGTTTTTGTAAGACATAATGCTACTGTACACTTAATAGACTGTAATATAGTGTAAGCATAACTTTTATATGTACTGGGAAACCAGAACATTCATGTGACTCACATTATTGTGATATTAGCTTTATTATGGAGGTCTGGAACTGAACCTGCAATATCTCTAAGGTACACCTGGAAATGAATGTGATACCAGGTGGTAACAAGTGCTTCAAAGAAATACAAATCAGTAAATGGTTGCACTGATGGAAAGTACTGATTTATGTAGGTTAGTCACGAAAGGTTCTATGAGAAGGCAACCATTGAGAAATGTTCTGAATGACATATGAGAATGATTATCAGATGGCATATGGGATCCAGAGGTGTGATTATGCATGTTTGAGGAAGAGCAGGATGAGTACCAGTTATAAATACAAAGCAACAGATTAGTGATCATGATTCTGATTTAGCTTGAGCTCTGTGTGTTGTGGTTATGTGAAGGGTTATTTGCAAATAACCTACACTACTGTTATAATTCTGGGAATAATAGTGATCTTTGTGCTATGGATATAATTGATAAAGATGTTTTTCCTGTGTTTTTCCAATGTGTTGAAATTTATTTACATTAATAACATGAAATTATGTTGTATGTTTTTTTCTGCCCACAGACAGCAATGGATCAACTTCACATGCACTTCACCCAAGCCATCCACAATACCGTGTTTCAAGTTGTTCTTGGTTACGTGGAACTATGTGCTGGAAACACAGACACAAAATTCCAAAAGCTGCAATATAAAGATCTCTGTACAGTATGTAGTAACTTAATTACTGTTCATATGTCTCTCTTTTAGTTTTCAAATTCATATTCCCTTTTTCTTTGCACTTACTATTTCAGGATGCTAGTAAAATGAAAACAAATGTTTGCCAAAAGTTTTTTCTTTTCCCATGTTGTTCTTTTAGAGAAACTGGAGAACTCAATCATTCAAATGGTAAAGGTTACTGAGATTGGAGTAGAGTTGCTTCTAAATTGACTCTCTACCTTCTCTTCATTTCTTTTTTTTTTTTTTTCTATTTCAAGAAAATATGAGAGTACAAACATTTTGGTTGCATTTTTTACTCTTCTCCTTCAGGCTCTGAATTCTCTTCCTTGATTGCATCTAGTGTGCTTCTGAGTAGTCATCGTTGCTGGTTTTCTTTACAGATTTTCAATCAGTCTTTTCATGTGTATAAGTGCTGTCTCTGTCAGCATCTGTAACCAGCTTTTCCTTTTCATTCCTAAAGAAACATTGATCTTTAGGTAATATAACCCATCAAGTGAGAAGCAGACTGATTTGGGCCCTATTTTAGAAGTAGGTCCTGCTGATGCATTGATGTAGAGTGTGAAGAAAAGAGGATGATAAATAGCTGGAAGAATGATATTGTCATTTGCTTTTACAGGGAAGACTAGGGAGGAGCAGAACTGTAGTGGAAAATCAAGAGTTCTGTTTGACATTTAAGTGGACTTGTGGAGAAGGCAGTGGATAAAGGAACCTAGGGAGATCAGGGCTGAGGTTATAGATTTGGGACTCATCAGCATCTATGTGTATTTAAAGCCATTATTTTGGATGAGAAGATTGGGGGAAAAGGTGTAGATAAAGAAGACATGAGGGCTGTGAGCCTTCTGACATTTAGGGATTAGCTAGAGGAACAGAGACTACAAGAGTCTGAGAAGGAGCAGCCAGCTGTATAGGAGGAAGACTAGGAGATGCTGGTGTTATGAAAGCATGAAGAAGGAAGTATTTCAAAAAGAATGGAGTATAAACCTATATCAAATGCTGCTGAGAGTCTGAATATGGTGATATTACAGAATTGACCACTTAATTTGACAGTGTGGAGGTTGTTGATCACGATCTCCTTCATTCTAACCTAAGAATGCTCCATCTCTCTCACTAGAGACATCCTTGAGTTTTCTCTAATGTCTTCTCAGGAAGTTATAATAATTCTAGGAAGTAGACATCTATTCTGTTTTGTAATTATGTCCAGGACTTAGTGTGAAATCAATTTAAGCTTCATTTTTCAACAAGTTTCTTTTCAAAAGTGCTGGTTATCTTTTGGGAAATGGAGAAATTTTCTTATTTGAGCTACAGCAAATATTCTAGAAGGGTGTGGTTATATACAATATATTAAAGAGTAAGTTAATAATGACAGTAGATGGTTGTTAATATGGCTAAAATGTCCTTTTAAAATAATTTTATAAATCATGATTGTTTCATAAATTTTATGATTAACTTTAAGTGTGATATAGTTATGTAATCACATTTTAAATATCCAGTTTTAAGTATATCCATAATATTAATAATTTTAAAATGTGTTATATTTGGATTGATAATATATATTTTTAAATTAAATACCCAACTAACTTTATTGTTTGATTCTATTAATGTTGCTATCACTAATAGGTGATTTAAACAGGTAAAGCAATTTATTACAAGTTAGTGATTTTTCTGTTAAAGCAGAAAATCTCTCTTAAAAATTAAAATGAACATTTTAAACAAATTAGGTTTTCGTCCATCCATCCTCTTTACTTTGGTTATATCCGAGTGGGGGGTGGTGTATGGGGAGTGTGTGTGTGTGTGTGTGTGTGTTTGTGTATGTATGGTTGTTAACACTTTATATAAAAGTATATAACTTTTAAAAGTAAAAAACATACTGTGCTCATGCTTCTTGATATCCTTTGCACATTTATATAACAGTGGAAAGATATGCTTGGCTTATAAATTTTAATGAACAAAAATAGTGCTCAAGGTAAATGTTTGCTGTCTCATTATGTTTCTTCTGAATTTCTTTCACTTTTTAAAAAAGCTGACTGTAAAATAATCTTTTGAAGTAGCTGTGTATATTTAAATTATCAGATAACAAATACCTGTCTTTCCATATTTCATCGTGGGTTAAATGCTCATTAAAATTACCCCCAAGAAACCTCAGGTCATTATTATAAAATTATCCATATTTATGTGATAGTGGGTGAGGTATATATAATTATATAATTAAATTAAAGAAACAGATGATTTATTAATATACTAGAGCTTAATCACAGAAAACACACACAACAGCAGGCACATATATTATTCATCCAACACAGCTATACATTTTTGGTTTATATTCAAGCTGTTCTAAAACATTAGTTGGAGTACTTTTGGTTTGAAGTGGTGAAAGTAGTAGCAAATGTTAGTAGTGATTTCATGGAGGAATTGTTTTTGAAGAAAATAGTTAATGTAATAAGGTGAAGATTGTGATGCACATTAAGGTAGCCCATTTTCTTTGGCACTATTCTCAGTAAAAATTAGGAATCTCACAAATTATCTCACGCCTGCTAGAAATTACCCAAAGACTTCTAGTCAGTGTTGCTACAGGCAGACAGGGGTGCAGAAATCTCTTTGAAATTTAAGTGTTAATTTATTTCATAATATTGAGTCATATTTGACATGTTTAAACCAGGTAAAATTAGGAAGAAATTATTTCTCACCAATTCTAGTTATTATTTAGTCTCATGAAACGATGTGAATTTTCAGTAACTAAGTTCTATAAAAGATGGTGATTAGCTCAAGAGACGAAAACTAGAGGGAACCATTAGAAGTTGAATAAATGAGTTGATGAAAACAAATTTAAATACATTTTCCTGGTGAGAACAATTATCAAGACTCTGCAGTTCATGAAGGAGCTTTGTAAGAATGTAACCTTAATTTTTCAATATGTGGCAGTGGGAAATCATTTTAGGCTTTGATTAAAAGTAACTGCTAATAATTATTGAGGGTATACTTGAGTGAGAGCTCAAGTATGTGGCAGTGGAGGGTCAGGTAAGCAAGAAGCAGAGTCCTCAGGAAACACGTGGGGTGTTGACTGTGGCATATTTTGCAAATGTGCAGAAAGCCTAGGCATTTTGGCAATTTATTTTCTGTGTACAGTAGCAGTATTTTGAAGGAAGTCCTTAATCTTAAATAGAGTTTTTAAATAACATTGAAAATTAAGATAGATGGATGGTACAGAGTAAGAGGGAGATGGAATTCCTGTGAATGGGAAACAATTGTGCTTCCTTTGAATGGAAAATGGTTATAAATGAAAAGAGATAATTATCTGCTTGCTTTATTCATAGTATTATTTTAAACCACTTTCAGATACCAGTCTAAATGAGCTAAAGTGAAATTTAACTAATTTGTAAAAAAAAAAAAAAAAAAACCCTAGAAAGAAATCTGGGGCAAAATTAGTGTTCTGTTTTTATTTACCCTAAACAGAAGCTTAAAGTTGTTAAGTCCAGCAGCATTCTGTTCCATTGTGAAATGTCTACCATTTGTTTCCTTTCACCATTGGTCAGAGTTTAAAAGTTTAGTTGGTTTTGAGCTTTTGAAGTTATTTTGCAATTCAGTGTATTTATTTTTTTCTTTACTAAGCTGTGTTTTCTAAATGGTTTAATTAGAAGCATAGTTTTTCTTTTTATGGTTTATCTTTCAGTCTGGTGTCCCTGCTTTTCTTGAATGTATTGGCTTACTGTTTTTTAGACTAGTCATTTGTGTTCTTTTTAAAAAAATGGATACATTATTTTGAAGCCCAAATAAATGACTGCTATTTAGCAGCAGAATTTCAAAATGAGAATTTAATTGCATTCATTTCTTGAAAGGGACAATGTAAAGGGTCTTAGTGGTAATTTTATTTACTTAAAAAATTAAGCCTTGTTTGTGATTTGCTTTTATGTTTTGATGTACCCCTACATATTTACACCAGTTTATGGAAAGAGACACCATTTGGAAGCTATTTATTTAGTGACCTTGCAGTGAAACCCTTTGTGGGTTATTTGAAAGTTTATGAAGTATTCACTGAGTTGTTTTTTTTTTTTTATTTAAATAACATTTCTTTGGCAGGCTGAAGGATTTCCCTAGGAAGCTTATTTCAAGATGTTAATTAGGATGTTATTGATTAATTTTAGGATACTAGAGTTGGCTAAGCTGGCTGATGTTTTCTCAACCATTTTTCAGTTGTTGATTTCCAATTGGTCTTAATGACTTTAGAATTCTGTTTTTATTATGAATTGATAATGTAGTAATACTTTGGGGAAAAATATAGTGTTTCTTTTAGAAAAAACTTTTTGAAATCATTTCAGTATATGTTTTCATAGTGTCTGGTACATTGGAGGTGTTTAATGAATGCTTCTTGAGTAAATTGGATTGCAATGTTTGTCTCTGATTGGTGTGGTGCTGACACAGTTCAAATCTGATTAGGTTAATTGGGAGGGAAAGAAAGCCGACATTGAGCCATCTTCTCTGTGCCATGCACTTCAATAGGTGCTTTATATGAGTGCATTATGAAAAGACAAACTTAAGGTTAGTCTAATATTCCATTCCTCTAGGCTTTTAAAGTTTAATTCTTATAAATAATATTTTTGATATTGAATTATAATAACTGAATGTCAATTTTTCAGTTAATACTTGTAAGACCTCTGTTGAAGATATAGTCTATTTTGATATTCATATAAAAACCTAAAGACAAATTCCTCTTTTGAATCAAGAACATGTTTCTGTTCCTAAATTCTCAGGATACTTTGTATTGTGAAGAATTAATGCATTTTCTCTCATCAGATGGTGTGAGAGTATGTTGACTCTCTTTACTATAGATTATAAGCTGCCAAGAAGTTCAAAGCTAAATTTAATGTTCATGTGTAGAACCCATCTCATTTTGGTTTCTCTATAGAATTAGCTGCCTCTTTATCCCTTTTCTAACTTTCTGACTTCTTAAACTGGTCTGTTATTTACGTGTTTTATGTCACTCACAATCTTTA